GTGCCAAGATTCAAAAGTGAGATAACTTCTTGCACTTAACATATCCCAAATTGTATTCATGAGTATGATTCAAAACACATTCACATTACATGAAGACACCTTAACTCACATGAACGGTACAATTATTTCCCTGCTTTGAAACACTTCATTCAAGTCCCATTATGCCAGGGGTGAGCAACCCAAAATGTTGAAAGAGCCATATAGGACAAAAAAAACAAAAAAGAAATATGTCTGGAGCCGCAAAAAAATAAAAGCCTTCTATAAAACTTACAATGAAGGAAACACATGCTGTATGTATGTCGGAGGCTGGACTGTCTCAGAATTGTTTGTTATTCATTCCTTCGTTGTGTGTTCACAAACGCCCCCATAGAATTTATTTTGTAATTTCCTCGCTTGATTTTTTTGTTTTGGTGCATTTTTTTTCGCTTTTCTTAGTGTCAGTGAAGTGATCATTAATTTCCGTTTTTCTGAGGCTGTCTTTGAACGCCTCTCGAGTGAACAAGGAGAGAAGGCAGGAGTCAGACTCACGCATGAGAACATCCATCCATCCATTTTGACCCGCTTATCCTCACAAGAAGGATGCTGAGCATGCTAGAGCCAATCCCAGCTGTCTTCAGGCAGGAGGCAGGGTACACCCTGAACCAGCCAATCGCAGGGCACACCTACTGACAAACAACCATTCATACTCACAATCACTCTTTGGGTCAATCTCAACTTTTCAAGCATTCAATCAACCAACCATGCGTGTCTTTGGACTGTGGGAGGAAACCAGAGTGCCTGGAGAAAAGATGTAAACTTCACACCGGAAGGCCCAAGCCTGGAATCGAACCCACGACCTCTGCACTGTGAGGCAGGCATGCTCACCGCAGACCAATAGGCAAGCGTACATAACAGTTCCACTTAACAAGGCAGATTTATCAAACACTGTTAAGCCAGCAACATTTAGGCTTCTCATACAGCACTTCCTTTTAGCCTTCTTATTTGAAACCATTTTACTGTACCCCACTTTCGATGCACAATTAGTGTACTGTGGACTGATATTAACTTTGCGATAGCTGTAGCTTTTCTGTATTTTGTTGCATTAGAAGGAACTCTTGTGACTGCGGTATGCCTCTTCAATGTATTATTTTTTACAGACAGGGTGTAATATAGTTACACTGATAGTGGTGTTGTTTCTTGCTGTGTGCCAAAATTGGGAAATCGCCCAGTTGTCTAGATTACCCACTCTGGGCTCGTCGATACTTCTTGCAATTTCATTAATACCAATTCTGATGAAATTGTTTTGGGTGTGGGAAGGGTTCATTTGAAATATAATTTCACATAAAGTCAAAATATAAGACAAATGCTGGCCATTTACTGCAAATGTATTCAATTGTAAATTATAATCCATACAACAAAAAGTAAAATAAATATGAGTAAAAATGTCATGCAACTATTGACCTCCCATTTTCTTATCTTTTTAAAAATCCTTTCATAATAAATTTGTCTTAATGGTATTAAACTCAAGAGGACTTAACTCCTCTCTGTTAAGCTTTTGCCTCTTAGCCACATAGACCGAAGAATTTCATACCTGGCTGAATGAAGACCTCTGAAAGTTAATGCATGTTCACATATAAATTTTTCATAATCCGTAGAGCAAAATATTAGATTGTGATCATAATCATTAAAGATAAAGGAACCAACACAACACAGAGGGTTAGGGTTAATGTGCTGACTGTACCTAGATACACTTTAGCATTTATCAAATCTTCTAGTAGGTTTATGCAGGAGATTATACTTTGGATGCAAAAGAAAGGCAAAACATGTTGTCTTCCCAGCGGCCGCTGAGCAACACTCACTACCACACAAACAACAAGTTTGCAATGGAAAAGAACAGCCAAAGAGCAAACCATCAATGTTAGACCACCGAATGAGAAGCCTGCAATGTTGTTTACATCAGTGAGGGCACACAGAAATCTCCCCATATCAAGTTGTTGATGGGAAAGTCCTATTACCACTAGTCTTTAATAGGCAGTGCTGTGGTTCATCCCAGACTAACCAATGTGGTGCTCTTTTGGATACCTAAATTTACATTTTCCCCACTTGGTGAGCTGGCCCAATGGTGTGACGTCTCATTTGGCCAACCACTTGGATTGTATAGAGGCTCAACGCCCAACGCATGACTCCATTGAGGACATCTGTGACCCAACACTGACTCTTATTTTGTCGGAAACAACATGCTGCACATGTTAAGAGGGTTTATCTATGTGTATAGTAGGTCTAACATCTCATATTTATTTTATTTATTTCTCTTTTTTAAAGCAGGGATGAGCCAGTACTAGTCACACCAACTTTTCAGCAATTTTGTTCGTAACATTGGCAGATAGCGCCTTGTTTTCTTCCACTGAATCAATGAAGCATATTGCCTACTCTCTGGTCTCATAAAGCCAGAGGTGTCAAATCCAGGTCCACAAAAGTAAAAACCCTTTTTGGGGAGCTCGTTTACTTGCCAGTCAATTAAAAGCACCTGGCAACTGCGGCAGGTTTTTCTACTTTCTGGACCTGGATTTGGCATTTCTGATCAATACATGTCATATTCTAAAATACTACAGTAGGCCTATAGTAAAATGAAATGGGGCTTTCTGTTTGTTTTAACTGGCAGAAACTACAGTAGGATTCCAAGAATTAGAATCACTTTGGCATTATTTTTGCTAGCTATGGCAGGAAGCCATCCTATAAATGTGTAAATCATTTTCTTCTCTCTCGCCCTCTCTTTCCTTTCAGATCCTGGCTTTATGTATCATCCAGTTGGAAAGAATACGAGGTTGTCGCTCTTCTGTATTCCTCTTCCTCTTCTGGGTCTTGGCTGTTGTTTGCTCCCTCGTGCCACTCAGAGCAAAGATCCAGCTGGCCATAGATGAGGTTTGTTGTTTTTGTTGTGTTATTATTCCAATAATTGTTAATTATGTTTGTTTTAGCCAGTTAAATGTACAAATGTTGGTCAGGCTTGTCCCCAGTAATGTCAAATACCATGCAGTCGTATCTAGTCAAACGAGCTGCTGCCCATAGTCGAGACGCACAGCTTGAGCCATATGCTATGTCAGCAAAGTGTTATTTCATCTTCCACTTTAAACCAAAGAAAGTGAACATTAACTATGGAGAGGAGGAAGAGAGGATGACACTGCCAATTCTGGTTGACCCTGCATGCGTTTACATTTTCTTTTCGTCCTATGCCTACTGTGCGCCACTACAATCATTGTAGAATGGGGCTAAGTTTATATTTAGATGTGCAAAGCCATTGGGCTGTTTCATTTGCATTTCTGAAAAAAGAGAAAAGACGCAAACACACACGCATCCATAATTTTGTTTTTTCCCCCTCAGTGTGAGATTCCTCCACAGCTTAGGGTGTTGTAATGAGGGGGCTGGGATAAATCCTGGTGAGCCATGACAGTGCAAGTTCAGACCAGATCATCAGTGCTGGGGTTAAAGGCACTCCCAGATGTAAATCCATACATCCACACTTAAAGTTTTCACTCAACAGACATGTCAAGCGTTCCGGCGCGCGGAGTTACCGCTCCCTGACTCATCCGACTTGTCTGACAATGTTGAAGGCTGAAGACAGGGTTCACGTCTGTTGACCCTTGGCCATTCTGACTTGACCTACATTTTTCTCACCCACATTCCCAACCAGCTTGACCTTGTTTTTCCCTATGTGGAAAAATCCATTTGGTCACATGATATTCCCCTTCTGGGCATAGCTCCATAGAGTTCAGATAAAAATGTTTTGTGTTTACCATATAATTCTGGATTGCTTGCATACATACTGTTGCACAACAAACTAGCTGTGGCTGTGGCGCTGACCCAAGTGTTATAACGTGCCAGAATAAACAGGTTTTGTATGATAAGGATAGAGTTGCAAAAGGTTCAATATTTAAGACAATTACGAGTGAGTAGGTTATATCACATCTGGTCCCTTAATTTACAGCTACATGGTGGATTTTCAAACCATATTTTCCCTATTTACACTTGTGTGTCAGGGTGACCGAAAGGCAGAATTACTGTAGATGTTGCTGCATTTATATGTCTACCATCAATCATGAAAGATTTTGTGTTTTCAGAGCAGGATCGCTTTAAATCCTGACTATATGCAGCTGTGTTGTGCGTGACTGTACAAACCATATCCTGTGCTATAAAGTGTGTACATATGGGGAAAGCAGGACAAAAAAAAGGAAACAACATATTGATGAGACTGAAACCTGTTGGTTATGCAATCCTAGTTTTGCTAGGGCATTTCCAGCCACAAAACCATTAATTATCTTTGTGGCTTTGAAGAAAAATGTCAGCGTTGGAAAACGTGCCTGTAATAGATTAAACCAAATAAACTCACTGACTCATGTGTTGCCATCACGGTCTCTAAAAGTTGGTGTTTATTTACTCCACAGGGCATTGACTCTGATACTGTGAGATACGTAGCTGCACATGTTAAGAGGGTTTATCTATGTGTATAGTAGGTCTAACATCTCATATTTATTTTATTTATTTCTCTTTTTTAAAGCAGGGATGAGCCAGTACTAGTCACACCAACTTTTCAGCAATTTTGTTCGTAACATTGGCAGATAGCGCCTTGTTTTCTTCCACTGAATCAATGAAGCATATTGCCTACTCTCTGGTCTCATAAAGCCAGAGGTGTCAAATCCAGGTCCACAAAAGTAAAAACCCTTTTTGGGGAGCTCGTTTACTTGCCAGTCAATTAAAAGCACCTGGCAACTGCGGCAGGTTTTTCTACTTTCTGGACCTGGATTTGGCATTTCTGATCAATACATGTCATATTCTAAAATACTACAGTAGGCCTATAGTAAAATGAAATGGGGCTTTCTGTTTGTTTTAACTGGCAGAAACTACAGTAGGATTCCAAGAATTAGAATCACTTTGGCATTATTTTTGCTAGCTATGGCAGGAAGCCATCCTATAAATGTGTAAATCATTTTCTTCTCTCTCGCCCTCTCTTTCCTTTCAGATCCTGGCTTTATGTATCATCCAGTTGGAAAGAATACGAGGTTGTCGCTCTTCTGTATTCCTCTTCCTCTTCTGGGTCTTGGCTGTTGTTTGCTCCCTCGTGCCACTCAGAGCAAAGATCCAGCTGGCCATAGATGAGGTTTGTTGTTTTTGTTGTGTTATTATTCCAATAATTGTTAATTATGTTTGTTTTAGCCAGTTAAATGTACAAATGTTGGTCAGGCTTGTCCCCAGTAATGTCAAATACCATGCAGTCGTATCTAGTCAAACGAGCTGCTGCCCATAGTCGAGACGCACAGCTTGAGCCATATGCTATGTCAGCAAAGTGTTATTTCATCTTCCACTTTAAACCAAAGAAAGTGAACATTAACTATGGAGAGGAGGAAGAGAGGATGACACTGCCAATTCTGGTTGACCCTGCATGCGTTTACATTTTCTTTTCGTCCTATGCCTACTGTGCGCCACTACAATCATTGTAGAATGGGGCTAAGTTTATATTTAGATGTGCAAAGCCATTGGGCTGTTTCATTTGCATTTCTGAAAAAAGAGAAAAGACGCAAACACACACGCATCCATAATTTTGTTTTTTCCCCCTCAGTGTGAGATTCCTCCACAGCTTAGGGTGTTGTAATGAGGGGGCTGGGATAAATCCTGGTGAGCCATGACAGTGCAAGTTCAGACCAGATCATCAGTGCTGGGGTTAAAGGCACTCCCAGATGTAAATCCATACATCCACACTTAAAGTTTTCACTCAACAGACATGTCAAGCGTTCCGGCGCGCGGAGTTACCGCTCCCTGACTCATCCGACTTGTCTGACAATGTTGAAGGCTGAAGACAGGGTTCACGTCTGTTGACCCTTGGCCATTCTGACTTGACCTACATTTTTCTCACCCACATTCCCAACCAGCTTGACCTTGTTTTTCCCTATGTGGAAAAATCCATTTGGTCACATGATATTCCCCTTCTGGGCATAGCTCCATAGAGTTCAGATAAAAATGTTTTGTGTTTACCATATAATTCTGGATTGCTTGCATACATACTGTTGCACAACAAACTAGCTGTGGCTGTGGCGCTGACCCAAGTGTTATAACGTGCCAGAATAAACAGGTTTTGTATGATAAGGATAGAGTTGCAAAAGGTTCAATATTTAAGACAATTACGAGTGAGTAGGTTATATCACATCTGGTCCCTTAATTTACAGCTACATGGTGGATTTTCAAACCATATTTTCCCTATTTACACTTGTGTGTCAGGGTGACCGAAAGGCAGAATTACTGTAGATGTTGCTGCATTTATATGTCTACCATCAATCATGAAAGATTTTGTGTTTTCAGAGCAGGATCGCTTTAAATCCTGACTATATGCAGCTGTGTTGTGCGTGACTGTACAAACCATATCCTGTGCTATAAAGTGTGTACATATGGGGAAAGCAGGACAAAAAAAAGGAAACAACATATTGATGAGACTGAAACCTGTTGGTTATGCAATCCTAGTTTTGCTAGGGCATTTCCAGCCACAAAACCATTAATTATCTTTGTGGCTTTGAAGAAAAATGTCAGCGTTGGAAAACGTGCCTGTAATAGATTAAACCAAATAAACTCACTGACTCATGTGTTGCCATCACGGTCTCTAAAAGTTGGTGTTTATTTACTCCACAGGGCATTGACTCTGATACTGTGAGATACGTAGCGTTTTTCTCCTACGTCACCATTCAAGTGGTCCAACTCTTCTTGTGCTGCTTTGCCGACCTGCCTCCAGAGGGGAAAAATGCCTTCGAAAAGGTATGGGCGGGGTGAATCCCACTTCCGTTAAAATACTGCCGTGTTCTCCCACCTGAGCATCTTGTGGTTCAAAACTTTTGGAGGCACGATGTGATTCACCTCTTTCCCCTCTCACCTCATTGCTTTAGCTTCCTGTGAGGAGAGTGTGAACAACCATGTGTATGTTTTTCCTTGTCCTCCCGCATACCATTACCATGACACATGTACTCTCTTCCATTGTCCAATGGACGCTGAAAATCTGCAATCAATTAGCATTGACTTATCGTAGAACACAGCTCTCATGTCAAAAGCTTTTTTTGTTTTTTTTTGCATTTCAGCTATTAATGAAACATTATCTTTTTTATTGTAGTTTACAGTAGTGTAGGACTGCGCAGTGTCATACTGAGAGCCGTTCCTGCTATTTTGCCCACAAAACCACCTCCTCCAGGACACTGAAAGTGAGACCCTCATCAATCAAACAGAGTTGTGATGTAATACAAAGTATTTCCCTGGTAATAAACCATAAAAACAGTTGGAAAAGTCCCGAGCAGATCTCTGACCGGTGGTGTGGTGTAGAAGCCACAGACTGGCGTGGTGAACACACCCAGTGGTCGTTCCTTGATGTGTCCTCGTCTTCTTCCTCCGCTTCCTTCTCCTCCTCTGGTTAGACTTACTCACAGTCAGAGAGGAAATGAAGGATGAAACGCTGGCGTGTTGGTATAAAAAGAGCAAACAGACTAGTGAGGGGGTGGCAGGATGGAGAGAACCATATAGTTGAGCAGGCAAACTTTCTATGTGTGTGTGTGCATACGTATAGGACATTTGCGATGACACATTTCCGCTCCGTCTGCTGTTTTTGACCTCAAACATCATTTTTACTGTCTGCTCATACTGGGCTCTATTTACAGGATGCTGACTTGTGGGAGCTCATAGCCTCTACCCCGAAACACCATTTATTTGCTTTTCATAAATACACCCTTTGCTATCATACTCCGTAAGGATGTCACCTTAGCATTTGCTGTTCAAAGAAAAGTCATTCTGGTTCTTGATTGTGTTGCAGAATCCTTGCCCTGTGAAAGACGCTTCTTTTTTGTCCAAGATTCTCTTCTGGTGGTTTACTGGGTAAGGTCCTCAAAGTCTCCCTTTTTTGAGCTAGCAAATGACTCAGCCCAGCAACATTTGTACTTGTTTACACGCGTTTCTGTGTGTGTGTGTGCGTGTGTGTGTGTGTGTGTGCGTGCGTGGGTGCGTGCGTGTGCGTGTG